TGGAATTGATAAATTCAATTCTACGTGCACAACAAAGTTGCCAAACTCCATCATAAGATAAATACCATTGCAACTTTGGTTATTTGAACTAATATTGCCTGATTTGGGGTGTGCGATAGACTTACCTCCACGTGGTGCACCCTCGGCAACGCATACTCATACGGCAAAAATGTCTATTAACTGACAGTTGACTTCTGACTTCAAACTACCATCACCCCACTGTATGCCATATTCGACCCCTAACACAGTACTCATCTTACCTATTCTCTGCCTTTTGTCTGGCTGTCTGTTTCTGTTACATCGGTGAATCATTATTCTGTCCCCCTCTCGACTTTTTGTCACTTCTATGTTCCTCCTCCTCTCTGTGAAGCCGGAACTCAGCTAAGGGATCAATGATAACTATCAAAACGCCTGCCATTTGATATAATAAATAAATGTCGCCTGATTTAAAACGAAATAGTTTGGTGTTCTACTTTGGGGTATTTAAGTAACATGAGATATTTGGACGCATTGGATACTCATGTCAATAGGTGACGTTAATTTAATCGTCGGAACGCCGGCTAGTAACTTCGGCTTATTTGGAAACAGCTCATTTTTGTATTCAATCCCGACTACCCTACACATCACTCCATAGGCACATGATGTTTTTTCGATTTATTGCACACGAAATGATAGTTCAAGAGAAAAGTAGCAAGTATCGAGATTGAAATGCTGCATCTGAAATATCCAGCAAAATTAAATAGCATATTGCAAAGAATAGTATGGTACAAGATATAAAAATTCAAGAATTGCAAGTCTTGGCTTTCCACTCACCGTCCCATCAGCATTACGATCACAGGCATATGTCATTAACCATTGACTCTTTCAGCAGCATCCTCGGCAGTTGCAGTTAAATCATTGCTTCTCAAAGGGTTGTCACCAGTTTTCAAGGTGATAGTAGCATGCGCTTCTTTGCTTTCGCCATGATGACGTTGTGTTGCCCCACGTAGACTTCGGTGCTAAGTTTCAATTGCACTCGTTCCTTCTATTCCATATCGTCTCATTTTGATACAAAGTCTCCGGTCAATAGTATCACACGCCTCCTTCACTTATCTTAGTTGTGGCGGATGGCTACACGAATAAGTGTTAACTTGTCCTCACTAATCTCTATGGTAATGATATCAGTACATAGAGGTTTCAGACAGGAAATAAAGAATCTCAATGATTTAGGGGAAGTAGATGAAACGAGAGCATATCCTTAATTGAATTTATGCTCACAATGTGATTATTAATTGAATATGTTTTGCATAAATTGAATGAACATTAATAGTCAACTTGTTGAGTTGTCCTCTGCATGCAAGCCCACGCTCTACAAAGTTTCCGCGTGTACAATTTAATGGTGTTAGGATAGCTTACTCGTTTCAGTATTTTGACCTCTATCACTGAGTTTGGGATTTATGCTCTCTGTGATGTCGTTAGATGGGTGACTGGAGATCTTGCAAGTTTGTTCTCATTCCCTCATATGAAATACGATTTTTCGTGAGAATGAAGTAGTCGGAGGAGTGAAGACCAATCACAGTTTTGAAGTAAATGTGCAACCGAAAAGATTTGAATCCTGATTGGATGTCAAGTAGTATTTGATAACATTGTCGCTCATACATAATTTCATCGAGTATGACAAACGACACTACCCCAATGAGAGATAGTAATTTGCAACAACAAGAGCCCACATCAAAGCCAGTCAATATTGATGACATATTTAAGGAAGTAACTGGAGAAAGAGGACTATGGCAAACAGCCATCCTTCTAGTCATTTGTGTTTCTCTCTCTGTTCCATATCTCTTCCCGGTCTTTGCTCACGTGGTTCCACGTCACCGATGTGCACTGGACAAGGCTGGAGAGGCCCACTTGGCTAGCATATTGGTACCAGTGGGTGGAGCTGGAAGTGCAAAGCGACATCTTACATTTGACGAGATGGCAAGAATAGTCGGACCCTGGTTCGAGTCGGATGCACCTGCCACTGCCAATCAGCATCACTATGGCTGTTCCAGATACAAGGGATACTTGAACATGAATGGGACTGCTAGTCTCAACATAACAACCGAAGCCTGTATCAATGGATACGTCTACGAGGTGTCGGAGAACCAATACCCCAGCACGATTGTTGCGGAATGGGACCTGGTGTGTGGTAACTCGTGGAAGAACCCCTTCTCCACCTCCATCTACATGCTCGGCATGCTGGTGGGCTCCATGTCGGGTGGGTTTCTCGCTGGCAAGTTGGGTCGTATGAAGGTGATTTACCTCTCCACCATTCTCGAGAGTGCCTCCGGTCTTGCTGTGACATTCGTACCCAATCTCCAGTGGTACACGCTTACTCGGTTCTTCCTCTCAGTCGCCGTGACCATCAAAGTTGCTGCCATAACTGTGCTCATGGTGGAGATGACTACGGCCAAGTACAGAGCAGTGTTCTCCGCCGGCTTCTCTTTCTTCTTCCAGTGTGTCTATCGAGCATTGCATGCATGGATCGCGATACACGTGCACAATTGGCGCTACTTCCACTTAATGATCATGGTGCCAGCTTTCCTCGGTCTCTTCACCCTCCTCTGGCTGCCCGAGTCGCCACGTTGGCTGGTCTCACAGCACAAGCACAAGGCTGCTCTCAGGACTCTCTACAAGGCCTACAAAGTGAACGCGATGTGCAAGAGCGCACCCGAGCTAAGCTTCGAGGAGTTTCTCGAGAGGACCGGTCACTCCAACCTCCCGGAGGAGCCGAGGCAGACCCAGTGGAGGAAACACTTCAACTTGTCCACCTTTTGCAGGAATGTTGTCGTGGGCTTTGCTGCACCTTACCAAACTCGTGATATTGCGAGGCGATCCATTGCAGCGACACTGCTCTTCACCGGTCAGCTCTTCGTCTTCTTTGGACTCCTCTTCTTCACTCAGGTCGTCCGATCCTCAGTATACTATGTGTCCATGATAAATGCAGCCACTTCAGTCCCCGGAATTCTGCTTTCAACACTCCTCTACTCGAAGTGCAGGAGTCGCAAGAAGCCCATGCTACTGCTCTACGCCATCTCGGCTCTCATTCTGCTGGCAATCGGTCTGCACACTGTGATTGCAAAACCTGAGTCCGAAATTCCCCTCATCGTGTGCAGCAACATCACTTTGGTGTTGCTGGGCGCCACCTTCAACATGATTTTCATCTACACCTCGGAGTTATTCCCCTCGAGCATTCGAAGCCAGGGTCTGGGCAATGCAACAGGTCTGGGAAGAATCGGTGGTATTCTCTGCTCTTTCGTCAACGAACTCGACCTCAAAGTGAGCCATGGTCTTCCTGTCATAGTCTATGGTGGTGTCAGCGTGCTTCAGGTTCTCTTCACGCTTTGTCTCCCAGACACAGATGGCAGGGACCTGCCAGACAACGTGAAGTGCGAGATGAAACAGGCGGACGCACACGTGGATGTAGATGCGGATGCGGATGCGGATGCGAAGGCGGAGGCGGAGGCGGAGGCGGAGGTGGAATCGAACGTAGAGTTGGAGGAGCTGGCGAAGGATGGAGAAGAATCGCCTAAGCACTGAATTCCTCTACACATTTCACCAAGTCCACATTTGTTCCACTGCTAAATGTCCTCACTTGAACTGCTACCCTTTCCATTTCTCTTTTTCGCTTTTATTTTTGTAGTCGTGAGTCAATCGCTGGGATTTTATTTCATTTATTAGCTTCACTCTGATTAGCACCTCCCACTCGGTTACTTAGGAGTTGCCCCTTCAGGCAACGTTTTGGTCATTTTATTTCACTTGGAACTCTGTGTACAAAGAACTGGTTGTGATTACTGAATGCCAATTATGGTTGTAATAAAAAATTATTTTGTGTATTTGGAGAGTCTTCTCTGAGAGTGGATCCTTGCGTTAGAGATTATTTTGGGTGCAATCATTTGAACTGGGAGTGGTTGCCAATACAGGCAAAAATTGTGACAAATACCACTAGAGCCCACATCATAAGTGCATTGGATAAGCCGCTGAAATGATACAAATAGGAGGGGCAGTGGGTTCGATCAGGAATTGGGAATCGGAGGAGAAGGAAACGGACTCCACATCAATGACTGAGAGGCGAATTAACCCTCTCTGAGTTAACGGCTTGAATGTCCTTCCTCGCCACATGCAAAGCCATTGCAGTGAATCTAGCATACCAATGAGGGTAGCGAATACATTTGGTAAATACAAGGCATGTCAACGTCATTTAGCCATTTGCACTCTCCAAAGTTACCTATTCTTGGGCTCTCAAAAACCCATTTTTGTATTCACCCTAGACAAAAACCTACAACATGGTCCTCATAACATCGACTTCTCTGTTTTATCACAGAGTTGACGTCATGCCCTCTCCCATCGCAACATGTGAATGCACGTAACCGGTGGTCACACAACACACACAATCTCCCCTCCCCCCCCCCCTTCCCGCTTATTATGGGAGCATACAATGCCACTACAAAGGTCATGTGGAGTGGTGCAATGCTCAGGTACTATTTGAATTAGGGATATACATCTGTGCCTAAAGTGCATTTGCATAATGATGGGGATTGTAACGTACTTGAAACCAGTGACAACACTGCTTGACCACATCATGTGAACGCAACTTATTATTAAGGTGGATGTGATGCAACGCACACACATACCTCAGTGACTCAGTTATTCTCCAGTTTAATATATTTTCAAGTGGAATTATTTGATTGAGGAGGACAGTGCTTTTGCCAAGTTTGAATGAAGTCACTTGGTGGTGAAGTAGACGTGGTCCCGATTAACGCAAGTTGAGTGTCGTAATATGCTATTGTGGTTTTGAGAAGATGGTTATCGCAATGATCCTGGGACTCAGGTAAAGTACGAACCTTGACAATCAGACTTCAGAAATACCACTTTATGCCTCCTCATCACGGTTTTATCACTTATGGAACCATTTCCCTTATCCAGCTGAAGTATCTGGATATAAATTTGTGTCTGAGTAGAGCTACCAAAGTCGAATCAAATGTGGAAGACTATTTCGTATTTTTGCGGTTAATATCGTAGTGTTGCCAACCAGGCAATCCAATGGAAATCTTTCTTATATGATAAAGATATAAATGTCGTGATATTCCTTAAATCACTTCAAATATTTTTTCTTTCATTGAGTGAGAAATGATTGTAGCCACATATTAATAGCAGCTCAAGGTTTGACTCTTCTTATGGAATTTATAGTTGAGGTTTTCGACTTTTCAGGACAAATTGATTAAGGGCCTCAATGAGTGAAGGTACCCTTCTGTAAAGATTCATTATCTTAGGGTTATTTGCATGATTTCATAAAAATTTTTTGCGTAGTTTCGATATTAAAAGTATGACACGAAATGCCTTAAATTTGTTACGAAACCTGCTGTATGTGGAGTTTCGGCTTGTTCTTCTTCTTAGAATTAAAGATAATTTTGGTTGAATTTTCAAAATATTTATCCGAAAGAATGTGTGCATCATGACTCTGTTGTCAATATAAGTTAAATAGTTCCAGTTTACGGATTTAATTAACATTGAACACAAATATTTGCTCAAAAATTTGTGTACTAAAGTGGAGTTACATTTTGATTTATTTAAAGCCCAGGATCAATGGAGGTTGTTCACATATTTTAAATAGCATGTATAGTATAGGTCTACACAAAACTATGATCGTTGTATCTTCAAACCTACATTATGTTCTTGCGAAGGGGTGCGCGATAGACTTATCTCCACGTTGTGCACCCTGGATAACGTATCTTCATACGGCAAAAAAGTCTATCACTCGGCATTTTGACTTCAATTTATTATGATTACCTTGAAACAAGGTTATAAGAGAAATCGCAATCGTGAGGTCGAATCACAACGTCTACAGATCCTCCAGTGGAATGATGGAGGGATGTCACCCGACAAAAAGATCCAAGTACAGAAAAACCTACAAACCTATGATGTAGACATTTTCACAATTATGGAAGCTAACATTTCGGATGACAAACTGAAATACTACCAATTCCCAGGTTACACCCTGTACCTTCTACCTAAATACTAGCAAGTTGCAAGTGCAATTCTGACTGGAGTAAAAGAAGGCCTCACCCCACATTACGATCAAGTCAGGAGTATGGGCTCGACACAAGCCATGTGAGATAATCAGATTAAATGTTTGGAAATGTCAAAATTACTTCAAGATATATGCAGTCTATAATCCACCCCAGAATT